TTAGTGGAAAAACGAAATCAGGTCTGAAGGTTTGTTAATACAGATATATGACATTAACAACTATTTGAAAGTAATTTAAGCAGAACCTTTCCAAAATGGCCTTAGGTGTGCCATTCAACATTCACAAATCATTAAAATACCCTGACGGTTCACAAGCCACAGTTAGCAGTGATAAATTCCATTAAGGAACAGAAAAATTGCTGTAATTACATATAATTATCAACTACTCTGTCTCAAATACCATATAATAAAAGCCTTTGTGCCTCTGAATTCAGCTTTATTCTGAGTTTTTTGTCTTCAGAATTCCTGCTATTCTTTTTCTGTCATATGTGGAATGAGAAGAATGCTAATCATGTGAACGGGTTTCAGTATGTGGAAATGTTCCAGTAACTTTTACTCTGCTTACAAACTCAGTCTGAGTATTGTCTGAAAATTAAACCATAAACCAAAGTCCATCTCTTTTATGGAACTGCATCGAATTTCTCTTTAGACGTAGAATTAAGAAAAGAAAATAACAAATCTCTCAAAATGAACTAAGACAATTAAAAAAGGTAACCTAAAACACAAAAAGAACCAGCTTCACATCGCATCAGACAAAGTAACTGTCCCCAAATGTAACATTCGAAGTCTTCCAACTCACAGCAGCCCTTTAATCCAAGGAGAACTGGCAGAATATGTAAACAGACACAGAAAAGAACTGCAAAACATGTCAAAAGAGTCTCATACCTGAAGGGAAAGTACTGTCAAGCGAAGAGGGGTGAAGTCGAGCAGCAGTGTGCCTGGTTTCATAACATAACTCTCAGTCACACTCGCACACACTGGGCTCGAGAGGCGGCCCTATTGTGAAAAGAGTAACAGCTGCTAGCAATTGGTCAACTCCCCTTCCCCCTCCCCCAAAGGAAGACATAAAATACGAGAAGAACAGACTCACGACTCAGAGCTGGGTGATAACAACAGTGATGAACAAAACAAACCGTGGCAAGTCAGCTGACGTTTGAAGACAGACCCTGGAATGAGCAAACTTGGGCATCAAAACGACAGACGTAAGGATGCACACGTACACAGAATACCCAAAATGACATGCAGAGACATGCTGAAGACACCCTGGGTTCAAAGAGCCAGATAGTCTGCATTATCACAGCTGCCATATTTACATACTAGGCAGTTATCTTCACACTTTTCCACACAGTGGCCACTCCTCTTTCTGGCCATGGTCAGGGGTGCAAAATGGTCACATGGGGACCTAGACTTGTTGAGAAATAAATAGGCTGCATGTAACTTGTGGTTAGCCCCAAAAAAGCTGCACAAAACAAATGCAGTGCAATTTATTAATAATAGGCAAACTAGAGGTCAGAAATGTGGGCCAGAAGGGAGGACTTTCCTACAGACGGATGTGACTCACAGATTGGCATTTACATTATTTATTTAGCAGATGCTTGTATGCAAAGTAGCTTACAAATGAGAAAACAGAAGCAATTCGAACTGGGGACCAAAAAAGTTTGTTTAGTGAGGAAGTGGTTAGTTGAGATGACATGCCTGAAAAGTCTTTTTGACAGTTTTTTGAAAACAATTTGGATTTAGTACGATTTAAGTAAAAAAATAAAATAAAAAATACTTGAATTCAGACCGATGCTTTAAATTGATCAAAAGTGACAGAAAATACTTGTATAAGGTTATAAAATGATTTTGATTTCAAATAAATGCGGTTCTTTTTACTGAAGAACCATTTCCACAAAATATTAAGTAGTACATCTATTTATCACATTGATTATAATGAGAAATCTGAGCAAATCAGCATATTAGAATGATTTCTGAAGGATCATGTGACAGTAATGACGCTGAAAATTCAGCTTTGCATCATAGGAATAAGTTGCATTTTAAAATATATTAAAATAAAAATAAAGTTCATTTAATTTGTAAAAAAAATATTTCATAATATGAATATTTTAGTCAAATAAACACAGCTTTGATGAGCATAAAAGACTATCAAAGACTTTCCAAACTTATATATATATATATATATATATATATATATATTTATTTATTACAATTGAATTACCATTTCCTTCATATTGTATTTCATGGTGTAACAAATTCATTTTTTCTAAATATAAATATTCCTGATTCTGGTGAGAATCATGAAACTGCATGCACATTATAGACAGGAAAAATATGGCAATGACTAATCTTCAGTCAACCATCCAAGTGAAAAATAATAGAAAAAATAATTTTTTAAGAGAAATTAAATTTGGTTATCTAGTTAGATAAGTGCTCCAAAACAAGATTGCAATGGATTGCAGTTCAGATGAAACTTGGAAGTTCATTCCATCAGTGATTGTGGAACAACTTGAATAGAATAGATGGACAAAATGCAGAGAATAATAAAGGCATAGAAAATGCACCGGATCTGAATGTTGTCTTGGAAGTTGGATCTCTCAGGAAGGGGACTTTGGAGAACGGGAGTGATTATAATTGTTGGGTATTGCAAGAGGGGGGGAGAAGAAAAAAATAAAAATAAAAGAAGTCAACAAACTCATTTTCAAGATTTATTTTCGTACTGCGGAGATTCTTTTCTTCATTTTTCGAAAACACAGCTATTAAACTCAGACCAAACTACAGGATGTGGGTAAAAGAATCAAATTAAGAGCTACACGTTAAAGGGCACATTTAAATTACTTAAACACTTAGACATGCAAAAAAAAAAAACCTTATTAAAACCATGAATAGGAAAAGGGGAAATTATCTCAGACATTAATTAAGATAATAAAAGTAGTGTTTTTTTCAGACCACAGTTACAAAAGGCCAGTAAAATGGCGACCGGCGCTTGGCTATTAAACACTACACTCACAAAAGAATGGTTCATTGGCACGAGTGGGACTGAGAAACTCTGGCCATGCCAACCACGCCACCATCCGAAGGTGAAAGACAGCCAAAGACCTGCATCTGCTGCCAAAATGGACTTCTAACCTTCATGAAATGCATCTGAAGCATTCTCAGAATGTTCCAACATTTTGAACCTCACACTGGGGTTCTGATCGAATGCATCCAACTGACCTTGGATACACACGCACACATTAAAATGTGATGTCAACAGGTGACTCATGAAATTATGCCTCAGGGTAATCTCAGTATTTACGCTTGAGACACACTGCAGAGTCTGCTGTGTTCTGCTAGTGAGGACAGTTTGAGCTCACTCTGGCGTTACCTCTCTGTCCTGAAATGAGACACCTGATCCTCTCATTAGAGAACGGGAATGAGGCACTTTTCATTCTGACCTTTTCGATGTGGCTGCGTTCACTAAACAGCTCACACATCAGGAAGAATCTGATATACAAAATCCATCAAAAAATGGTACAAGAAAGCAGTTTCACATGGGAAGTAGTTGGTCATGCCTCACTCACGTTGTTCAACTTTTGTTGAGCAATTTAGTTTGGCAAGTAAATCAACAGAAGTTTTTATAAAGAAGTTATCTTTGGTTACAAATCCTAGTTGCCCAATCAGATTAAACATCTGGGTCAAACTTTCCCAAGATCTAACATTCACTGCTTTTCTGGCCTGTGCCATTATTGTTCATTTGAAAGGTTTTATAAAAATCTCCTCATAAAACCAAAAGTTTTGCAAAAAATGAAAGGGAGAAAAATGTAGGGACTTCGTAACAAGAAACAATGGAGACTTGTGAGAGTTTTGAAGCACCTCCCCCACCCTGCCACCCCAACTCCTGCTGAACTGCATTTGTTCTTCTCGTGGGCAGACCGCTTGGTATAAAATGTGGAGCGAGAACGAGAGAGAGATTGGAGGGCTTTTAGCTGTGCTTTAAACCACAGAACCAATACCAGTCATGCTACATCTCCCCTAGCTCACAGTCAATTTACCAAGAAGGAGGTTCCTGGATCAACATCTTGGTGTTAATGCTAGAACAACATTCACGTAAAGTAAAAATTACTTCCAAACGATGGACTACACCTAAATTCAATGGGCAAAGATAAGTTTGATAAAGGTGGTTTTTAATGTTAATGTTATTAATAATGCTATTAAACCCTAAAATCCAATTGGCTGGCGCTGTTCCAAGATGTTCTGGGTTTTCACCTTTCAATGAATTCCCATGACTTTTCAATGATCTTTCCAGTTGTTTGAGATTCTTGGATTGGGATTTTGTTTTATCATTTTGATTCAGACTAAAAAGCCATTAATGAATCATTCAGACCAATGTGTGAATTGGAGCGATTCATTAAAAATGCCTTAAAATAAAAATAAAAACTTTTTACACTATTATAATATTTATTCATATTTTAACTGAATCTTTGATTATTTTTATATATTTTATGTTTATGTATTTATAGTTTTAGTATTGTTGTCATTGTTTAGCTTTTATTTTTGCTTTCAGTTTAGTTTTAGTAACTGTAGTGCTTCAAAGACAACTTATTTTACTTCAATTCTACTTCAATGACTGAAAATAATTTTAGTTAACACTGCTTGCAAGCCACTTTTACTCGAAAATATTTTGTTCTTGTGTAGAGAAAGTATATATTAACTATGTTTTCCATTACTTTTTAGATTGTATTCAATTCTATGACTACGAAAACACAATTTTAAAATCCCCTGACACTTCCATGACTGTGGGAACAGTGCATGTTGATTCAGGAACATCCTACTTGGTGAATCACTGTGTACCACATCCTGTTGAACCCAGCTCTGCTTTTCCTAATCATAAACACTGTCGTTCTCTTAATTTTCTACTCAACTCAACCAGGTCTCTCACCTCGGTTTGTGCAAATCAACGGCACATCGTACCCCTGTGAGAGCTGCTCAATCTACTGTCAGTCTCTATCAATCTAAGGAGACACTCTATACTTATCTTCACCATCTACTGCTTTGCTGTCAACAAACCTTCTAAAATCTCTATCGTCTAGCTGTGCTGCCATCATTTCTCTGAGGTCTAGACTAGAACTGGGCCTCACTGTGGGCTCTGTGAAAGCATGTTTGGGTGTCCTGGGGGCTTCTGGGATATCTCCTGTAATGTAGAGATAGCCCAGAGGGGTATCCGGACAAAAGAGATCTGTATGCAACACACAAAAGGCAGGGGGAGTTGGGATGTTTGTGTTGGTGGGGGGTTAAGCCTCTCCTCTTTAATGTAAAGGGTTAACTTCTCTGCTCGATTTTATAGCCTTTGCCTCTCCCACGTCTCCCGTCTACTGTAACCTCCACCCATTTCCCTTATTCCAGTGCTGGAGAGAGACGGGAAGAGGGTATGCAGTTACAGAAACATCTGGAGCAGTTTACTGTGAATGCCTTTGTGCCCAGCAAAAGGGGCTTTCCACTTCTTGGGTGAATTTCACAAAAGCATGCAGATTTTACCCCCAAATCAAAATATGAAATGTAAAAAATGCTATTTTGCATAAAGAAATTGAAGCTTATTTTAGGACTAATTTCCATGAAAATGTATCACATTTTGCACATAATGCAAACTGTCATTATTGTTTGACATTTGAGGGTTTTGCAATTCCCATTAATCTCAGTTGTGATCAGATTTCCATTTTTATTAAAAATGACTATAATACAAGCATAAATTAAAAGTTAAAAACATGTTGTATAAATACAAGTTAAATAATATATATTTTTTGCAATGTAGAAACGGTTTATTTTTGCTTAATGAACTTAATTTTTAAAGACATTTCTTACTTATATATTTCGATTCTGGGGTGAAATATGCACAAGTTTATGGGTCGAGGGTTTTATAAGATTCAACAACATACTAGGTCTAAACTCTAGTGAGGAAATCGTGTTTTTTTTTTTTTTCTCTCTTTTTTTCTTTTTCTTTCTATGCTTAAATTCATTTGGCTGTGTGAAACCGGTGGCTGAAAGGAGTCTGTAATTTGGTCATATCCGTGAAAGAGAGACCCACAAAAGCCTCTCCAAGATTAAATTCTTCTCTCATTTCTTGCCTTGTTCCCATGGGAATGCCAAAGGCCGCCTTTCTGGATGAGAAGTCTGGTGGAACCAAAACGTCCATCCAGAATCCATGAGTTCATCCAAACAACCAAAAGAAATAAAACAGAAACCTGACAACAACAAAAAAAAAACACAAAGTGAAAGTTTCTTTGTGCAGGAGGACGGTATGACAGAAGGGAAGGGGCTGTGGGGGATTTCAATGCCCTAACTTGTCAATCATTTCCCTAACAGCTGTTTTCTCTGCTGTTCCAACAAAGACTCGAGATGATCTGCTCTCTTCACTGCAGTCTGAAAGACAGAGGAAAAATAAGTTAGTTGTAAATCAAAACGTATGCGATGCTTTACTGCAACAAGCAAATACACGGAATCAGGTTTGTTGCAGCTTACCTCATGCTGCTTGCGCAGGTTATTAACGGTCTCTTCCTTCTTCAAAATAGCCGACTTCACTCTACAAAAGAAAGAGACCAGGAACTCACATCAAGCATATAGTAAACACCTCATCTGCAGTTTTAATCCAAAGCTAATTATTGGTTCTAAACAAGGAACTAAGAGGAAAATACTCTTCAATCCTGACCTTTGATGCACCTCTGCAAGCTCTTCTTCTTTCTCTCTTGTCACTCGCTCCACCTCTAAACGGAGTCGTGCCTTGGCCTCCGAGACCTCCATCTTCATTCTCCTGTTCTCTTCCTCCGTCTCTACAAGCCGTTCTGCAAACTCTTGTCTGATCACTTCTGCTAGACTGCGGCGCTCATCTGATAACTTGTCACGGGCCTGTGAGCCATTCCATAAAAAGAGACAGAGACAAAGCATGAGAATGGAAGTTGATTGAAAACCCCCGGAAAACAAAATGATTCTTTGGAGCATAAATCTCATGAAGCAATTTTAGCATTGCATCACTTGCTCACCAGTGGATCCTCTGGAATGGAATGGTTGCCATCAAAATAAGAATCCAAACATCACAATAATCCACATGACTCCAGTCCATCAATTAATGTCATGTTAAGAGAAAAGCTGTGTGTTTGTAAGAAAAAAAATCCATCGAGGCACTTAACTCTCACTTCGGGCCAAAATAAAAAATTATAATCCATAATTCCGCTTCATCCAAGTGAAAAAGTGTTCTCTCCTGTTGTCCATTAAAATCCACATATGTTTAGAACCGCGTTTGCTCATAAATGCTGCTTGATCGATGCATATTTCTCTCCTGATTCGAACTAGATTACTTTTTCACTGGAGGAAGCGTGCGTTATTATCGATTATGGAATCACATTATAGCTGGAAGCAACGGTTGGAAGTTAAAAACATCTTAATAATGAATTTGATTATTACAAACACACAGCTTTTCACTTTATAAATTAATTGAAACATTGGCATTAACTTGTGATGTTGTTATCAGCTGTTTGAACTCCTATTCTGACGGCACCCATTGACTGCAGAGGATCCACTGGTAAGCAATTCATGCTATGCTAGATTTCTCCAAATCTACTCAGATGAAGAAACAAACTACTCTACATCTTGGATGACCCAAGGGTGAGTAAATTTTAAGCGAATTTGAATTTTTTGGTGAACTATTTTTTTTAAATAGGCTTCATTGATTTATAAAATTCTTATAATTTTAGGACGAAATATAAATATGATATTCACACCTGTAGCTAAGTGAGTAAGTTATCTAACCACAGTCAGTAATCCATTTTCAGTCATTCAGTCAACGTTAAACAGAAAGGGTCAAAATTAATTCAGTTTATCACACTTCCAGAGAAACAAGCAGTATAGCTTTTATCCTGTCAATTCTAATCACTTCTTTACTTACTGAACTACAAGTGAATATTTTTTATCAACTCAAAGTAACGGTTTGTTACAGCTTGTGAGACTTAAATCAATCTAATTATTTATACAGCACAGTTCTAATTACTGACTGTTATTGATTAGTATATAGTTAGGACCGATTATCAATAATAAAATCATTAGGGAGCCAGAATTGTTACTTTAAAAATGATTCCTTAGGCTCTTTCTACAATCCTTGGTAGAGAGGGGAATCATGTCGATTTATAAGTAACCTATATGCGTTAATGAGTGTGGACAAACAAAGCAGCGACGGTTACCTGGGTGAGGTCGCTTTTCTCCTGCTCTCGTTGTCGTAAAAGCGACTGCAGCCGGAGGAGCTCTGCCTCCATCTCACTGTGTTTCTCTCTCATCTCCTGTTGTTTCTGCAATGCTGCCCGCTCCGAACGCTCCAGATCTCGGAGCTCGGCCTCGTATTTCTCCCTCAAACGCTTTATCCTGCACACACATACATAACATACAAATTTACATTCGGTTCGAAAAAAACCACAGTCCTTCCGCCATATGTTAAATGGATGGGCTTATATGTAAATGGCAGTACATCCGGAGTGCAAATCGTCTAGAAAGAGCTCAAAAATGTGGCCCACAAGTATTAGTTTTATTCAAAACTTATAAAACTCAAAACTGAAAGTATACAGATAGCAAACAGGATGCAAAATTGACATTTGAATGAAATGTAAGGAAAATCAAAGCTGAACACCAGTCTTCAGTGTCACATGATCCTTCAGAAATCATTCAACTATGTTGAAGGTGTAAATTACAATAAATAATTTTCACAGAATACAGTATATTTTTAATTATAATTTAACTCATGATGGTCTACAAGCAAACTGGTCAGAAGGGAAATGAGTAGCACATACTGCGTCTTACAATCTGTGCTAATTCAACACATGGACATTTACTTCTACTGAAGTGCATGTGAGAAGAACTGTAACATCCTGTGCCACCAGAGACATTTAAGGACACACAACCAGGAAAGTGAAACACACCGGTTGTCAGACGCTCTCTCACACTCCTCTCTTGCTCCTCTAGTCTCCTCCTCTAGTCTCTGAATGGCCAGCTCGATCTCTTTGTCTCTCCCTCGACGCACTTCCTCTTTAAGCTCCCTTTCTCTGCTCAGCAGCCATGCTTCCTGTGAGAGGAAACACAGTGTTCTGAGATCACCACAGGGACTTTTTATCCTTACATACACATGCAGTTGTAAAGCTTCTGTGACTTTGTTAATTAATACAGAGATATTTGACAAGATTTGATAAACACACTAAACCCGAGAAATTACACCAAGCAAGTTACTCAGTTACCACCTTTAACTCCTGCTGACATAACATGGAAAGATGGATTATAATAGAGTAAAAATAGAAGTAAAATAGAGTAAAAAAAATACAATAAAAACTGTAATATTGTGAAATATTATTACAATTTAAAATAGCTGTTTTTGATGCTCAAGAAACATTTCTTATTATTATCAATGTTGAAAAGAGTTGAGAAGCCTAATATTTTTGTGGCAACAGTGATCCTTTTATTTATTTATTTGATGGATATAAAATTCAAAAGAACAGTATTTATTTGAAACTGAAATATTTTGTAACATAATAAATGCCTTTATTGTCCCATTTGATACATTTCTTGCATCCTCTCTGAATAAAAGTATTAATTTGTTAAAAATAAAAAAATCTTACAAGCTTTTGAAAAGGAGTGACCTTTAACTCCTGCTGACATAACATGGAAAGATGGATTATAATAGAGTAAAAATAGAAGTAAAATAGAGTAAAAAAAATACAATAAAAACTGTAATATTGTGAAATATTATTACAATTTAAAATAGCTGTTTTTGATGCTCAAGAAACATTTCTTATTATTATCAATGTTGAAAAGAGTTGAGAAGCCTAATATTTTTGTGGCAACAGTGATCCTTTTATTTATTTATTTGATGGATATAAAATTCAAAAGAACAGTATTTATTTGAAACTGAAATATTTTGTAACATAATAAATGCCTTTATTGTCACATTTGATACATTTCTTGCATCCTCTCTGAATAAAAGTATTAATTTGTTAAAAATAAAAAAATCTTACAAGCTTTTGAAAAGGAGTGAAAAAATATGCATAGAACAAGATAAAATGTATAAACTCATCATTTCTGCTTGATAGACTTGTGAAGACAAACACGCACCTCTTTTTTCATATAATTTTCTTCCCATGTCTGTTTCTCAATCTCAAGTCTTTCCTTCAGGGCCTTTATTTCAACCTAATGTGAAAAACAGCCAAGAACACAATTAAAAAGAACCAAAAGAACGAGACACTATTCTATATCACCACAAAAAAAGGTGCTTTCATGTGACCTCTGCAAACATTGCACCATCAAACACATTTACACATCTCTAAACAGACACGTACAGTCATTTGAATTCTGTGCCTGAAAGCCTCAGGCAAAAAAAATCTATATCACCACAAAAAAAGGTGCTTTCATGTGACCTCTGCAAACATTGCACCATCAAACACATTTACACATCTCTAAACAGACACGTACAGTAATTTGAGTTCTGTGCAAAAAAATAAATAAATAAAATGACTGGGTTTAGATGATGCATGGAAGGAAGAAAAGATGAGTGCTGATTAGCATGAGAGTTATTCAGAAGACATTTCCTGACACCTTTAAAACCGGATGGTATCAGTGATACTGAAAGTTGCAACACATTTACTTCTGGCTTCCTGTTTCTTGTTGATAGTTTGTTTATTAAGACTGACTGCGTCACATTTTAATGCGTCTATGCCGTTTAATTGGTTACCAGTGCTTTGTATGACTCTTTACAGTGCATATTTTGGGCATTGCTCAAACAAAAAGCATGTTATCTGCCGTGGTACAATTTCTGAAAGTCATGCACACAGCCTGAAAGACATAGTTCACCACAAAATGAAAGATATGTCATCAATTACTTGACCTCATGTCCTGCCAAACATGTATGACTTCCAAAAAAAAAAAAAAATGAAAAAAAAAAAAAAAATCCAAGCTACTTTTTTCCATACAATAAAAGTGATCACACACGCCCACTTTCAAAGAAAGAGGGTAAGTAAAATGATGAGAGTATGCTTTAATACATATTTGTATGTACCAATATGACTAGATTTTGTTGATGTTTTACCTGGTGTCGTCTCTCCTGCTCTTCTCTGCTCTTCTCCAGCTCTTCTCTCAGTGCTCTTGCTGCCAAAGAGTTGTTCCCTTCCAACTGCTTCCTTAAGTCCTCCAGCTCAGCATGCTGCCTATATAACACACAAACACAATTCCATTTAGTTATAAGTAATACTAAAAAAAAAAAAAAAAAAAAAAAAAAAAAAAAATCCAAGCTACTTTTTTCCATACAATAAAAGTGATCACACACGCCCACTTTCAAAGAAAGAGGGTAAGTAAAATGATGAGAGTATGCTTTAATACATATTTGTATGTACCAATATGACTAGATTTTGTTGATGTTTTACCTGGTGTCGTCTCTCCTGCTCTTCTCTGCTCTTCTCCAGCTCTTCTCTCAGTGCTCTTGCTGCCAAAGAGTTGTTCCCTTCCAACTGCTTCCTTAAGTCCTCCAGCTCAGCATGCTGCCTATATAACACACAAACACAATTCCATTTAGTTATAACTTAACTTTCATCAAGTCCCTCTTTTGGACACTCAAAATAAAAAAAAATAAAAAAAACATACATTTTTAAAACAAGATAAAGTCACTTAAGAAATCAATTTGACTCGTTTTATCTAATATTCTTACATTTCTTACTCAATTGTCAAATCAATTTTTTCATGTTTTAAGCATAAATCTGAATAACTTTAGTCATGTTTGCTAAGAAAGAAAAGTTAAATCTTTCATCTTTTTTGATATTTTTACATTTTAACATTGAATAAAAAAAATCTATCAATTATAATAACAACATGAAAACACATGGACGTTTCTTTAATTATTTTAGAAGTTATCTGCTAAGACTATTCCTGACTAGAAACACTGTTCAGTAATTTGACCTTAAATAACCTTTGAACCTGACCTGGCTGCCAGCTGTGTGATTCGCTCTTTCTCCTCTGACACTTCTTTATACAGACGTCTCCTCTGCTGCTGCAGCGAGTTCTCCTCTTCCTGCAGCTGTTTCTCAAACCTGAGACACAAACACACAATTATTTTCTCAGTTGTGCATAGACTTTCACTGAATGCGTGTTCTTAATTTCAATGTATGGGAAATCAAGACTTCATTCTTGTTTTATACACAAGGATTTTGTGCCACTTACATAAAACCCAAAATCCTTGCAAAACCCTTATCCACATAATACCCACTTAAACACTGAGCAAGAGGTGTGTTTGCGTACATTTTGCTACTGATCTAGGCAACAGTAATTAAAGACAGGCAAAGATTTTGGGGATTTTTTTACCTTATGATCTTTCAGCCATTATCTTGACTAGCTTTATTTTTGTGAATAGGACACAACTGTTACATGAAAACATGTAATCAGCACTCTTTTTTAATTTTGGGAATGTGTTTGTCCCAAGCATCTTATTTGCATAAAGTGAAACAGGGAAAAAAACAATGCAGAAAGTGCAAATTACATTGTTTATACTATATATTATTTCCCGCACATATGGTCACACTTTCCCATCTGCTTCTCTTTCTGTCCTACACACATAACCAAATAAACACACATACTCATGTTGATTTCATTATCCCCTATGAATAATTCACAATTCTGCCAGAAATCAGTTATAGAGAGCGAGTTCACTTTTCAGGACTGAATGGAGAAATTAATAGAATGTGGGAGGAAAAATATGCCTCCTCAATAAAGCCAAACACATTTAGGCTTACTTGCTTACATTGACTTTTATTCACGATCCACACAAAAATTGATGGAATAGTTCACCAAAAAATTAAAAGGCCATTATTTACTCCTTCTCATGTTGTTTTAAATACTTTATGCTGTTATTTTTTGATGGAAAATAGTCAAAGCTAGTGTGTGATGCGTGTTCGCATCCAGATGATGCCAATTTTGAAATCTGGACATAAACTCTTTGAACACAAAGTATGGAGGGGAAATTACTACTTAACCTACTGTTCAAAGGTTTGAAGTCAAAATTTGTATTTATTTTTTGAAAGAAAATCACTTTTATTCAGGAAGGATGCAATAAAGTGATCAAAAGTGACAGACTAGACATTTATGTTACGAAACATTGCCATTTCAAATAAATGCCATTCTTTCGAAACTTCTTAGATTAGAATGATTTCTGAACGATCATGTGACACTATAGACTGGAGTAATGGCTCCTGAAAATCCAGTTGTCATCACAGAAATAAATTGCATTTCAAATTAAAATAGAAAACATTATTTAAATTGTAATAATATTTCACAATATTACTGTTTTACTGTATTCTTTATCAAATAAATGCAGCCTTGGTAAGCATAAGAAAGCTCTTTACAAAAAAAATTGTGCTGAAGACAAACCTTTGAAGAACGGTAGTATAAATTTCATTCTGGTCTTGAAATCGATCATATGGCTTCAGAGTCTTAAGGGTGCTTTAAAATTAAAATTATTACAATGTTGCTTTTTATTCTTGGTGTGGTTCGCTTTCACACGGCATGGTTTCTAAATGGACCAAATTTGTTAATACAAGTCACGCGCGAGTAATCTGTTCTCTCATTGGTCAAAATTCCACGGTTTATTTTCTGGGATTCCAGCTGTCATCCGTCAGGATGGAACAACAACAGCTTCGCGGGCTTATTGTTGTTGTTTTTTTTGTAGCTGTCGTTATATTAGTTTATCATTTTGAGCAGGAGTCCAGGATTAATCGGGAAAACATTTTTAAAATGCACCTACTAGGAAGAAAAGCAATAAGACAGCATTATAAAATGAAAAAGTGAGCTTTGATTTTGAATGGCGAAGACGTGCTTACCCACAGACATTCACAGGTTCATTTTGAAGTATTAACAAAACAACAAAGCTAATGCTTTTCACGAAACTTATGTAATTACCCATTATACATCTAGTCATTTTATAATGCCGCCTTATTGCTCTTCTTCCTAGTAGGTGCATTTTAAAAATGTTTTCCCAATGAATCCTGGACTCCTGCTCAAAATTATAAATTAATATAAGGACAGCTACAAAAAAAAAAAAAAAGCTGTTGTCGTTCTATCCTGACGGATGACAGCCGTGAGAGCTAAGTGGAATCCCGGAAAATAAACCGTGGAACTTTGACCAATGAGAGAACAGTTTACTTTTGCGTGACTTGTTTTAAAAAATTTGGTCTGTGCCGTGTGAAAGCGAACCGCACCAAGAATAAAAAAAAGCAACATTGTAATCATTTTAATCCCTGTTTCGGAACAAAGCAATCGATCTACAGGTGTGAAAGCACCCTTATAGAGCACGTTTATAGTGCTTTTATTGTGCATTCTGCTTTTTTTATATTGTGTTTTATTCTGTTTTTGTCAGGAAATAGCTGCATGAAGAGTGTCTGACAGAAGTTTGTGTGTGAAATAAAACAGTCTTTGTGGCAAATCGTGGTTCACAGTTATAAACCGGGTTTAAAAAAAAAAAGTCCTACTTCATCTTTCAACAGGAAATACACCAACAGAAAGTTCGTTGTACTGCAGGGTTAGTCTTCAATAAAAAAAGATTCTTATAAACAGCAGACTCTTTAGTCCTCATTGTGATAACTAAGTAAATATTTAGCTTTAAGATCATGTCTAGTCAGTTTCCTCGGTCGCTTTTTTCCATTCTCTCCCAGTTTTAATGTGTGTGTGTTTTCTAACATCTGTGAACACATCGTCTTGGCTGTCCGTCTCTGTAACTGGTTTGATCTCTGATGAACAGATGTGTATTCTGTGAGCAGATGATTCTGTGCACTGGACACATGCGAGTATGTAAGGGTGTGCGTACCTCTGCTTGGCCAGTTCTCTCTCTCTCTGGCACTGTTCATCTCTTTCTCTCTCCAACTGCTGTCGTAATTCCTCGGTCTGTCTGACGTAACGTTGGGCGGCCCTCTCGTCTGCCTGAAGCAGCTCTGCCTCATGAAGAACTCTGAGTTTCTTTAGCTCCTGCTTGTGTTTGGAGATGAGTTTCTGAATCTCTGGCTCCAGCCCTGAGAGCATACAGCAGGAGACAGTTATGCAAACATTATTCAAATCTAACATAAATGTTTGCAATAGCATTGAAATAATCAGGGAAATTCCAATGGAATTCAAAGGAGGAAAATAATAAAACTACTATTGACACTATTTGCTGGCGTAATGTTTGAATTATAAGGGGATCCAAAAAGTTAACAAGGAAAATCTAGGATTTCTGGTGTCTGGATTTCAGTTTCAAATCAAAACAAAAAAAAAAGAAAGAAAATCGAATTGCTCTAATTTTAATTAAAAATGGTATCAATTGTCAAATCAATTTTTTCATGTTTTAAGCATAAATCTGAATAACTTTAGTCATGTTTGCTAAGAAAGAAAAGTTAAATCTTTCATCTTTTTTGATATTTTTACATTTTAACATTGAATAAAAAAAATCTATCAATTATAATAACAACATGAAAACACATGGACGTTTCTTTAATTATTTTAGAAGTTATCTGCTAAGACTATTCCTGACTAGAAACACTGTTCAGTAATTTGACCTTAAATAACCTTTGAACCTGACCTGGCTGCCAGCTGTGTGATTCGCTCTTTCTCCTCTGACACTTCTTTATACAGACGTCTCCTCTGCTGCTGCAGCGAGTTCTCCTCTTCCTGCAGCTGTTTCTCAAACCTGAGACACAAACACACAATTATTTTCTCAGTTGTGCATAGACTTTCACTGAATGCGTGTTCTTAATTTCAATGTATGGGAAATTAAGACTTCATTCTTGTTTTATACACAAGGATTTTGTGCCACTTACATAAAACCCAAAATCCTTGCAAAACCCTTATCCACATAATACCCACTTAAACACTGAGCAAGAGGTGTGTTTGCGTACATTTTGCTACTGATCTTGGCAACAGTAATTAAAGACAGGCAAAGATTTTGGGGATTTTTTTACCTTATGATCTTTCAGCCATTATCTTGACTAGCTTTATTTTTGTGAATAGGACACAACTGTTACATGAAAACATGTAATCAGCACTCTTTTTTAATTTTGGGAATGTGTTTGTCCCAAGCATCTTATTTGCATAAAGTGAAACAGGGAAAAAAACAATGCAGAAAGTGCAAATTACATTGTTTATACTATATATTATTTCCCGCACATATGGTCACACTTTCCCATCTGCTTCTCTTTCTGTCCTACACACATAACCAAATAAACACACATACTCATGTTGATTTCATTATCCCCTATGAATAATTCACAATTCTGCCAGAAATCAGTTATAGAGAGCGAGTTCACTTTTCAGGACTGAATGGAGAAATTAATAGAATGTGGGAGGAAAAATATGCCTCCTCAATAAAGCCAAACACATTTAGGCTTACTTGCTTACATTGACTTTTATTCACGATCCACACAAAAATTGATGGAATAGTTCACCAAAAAATTAAAAGGCCATTATTTACTCCTTCTCATGTTGTTTTAAATACTTTATGCTGTTATTTTTTGATGGAAAATAGTCAAAGCTAGTGTGTGATGCGTGTTCGCATCCAGATGATGCCAATTTTGAAATCTGGACATAAACTCTTTGAACACAAAGTATGGAGGGGAAATTACTACTTAACCTACTGTTCAAAGGTTTGAAGTCAAAATTTGTATTTATTTTTTGAAAGAAAATCACTTTTATTCAGGAAGGATGCAATAAAGTGATCAAAAGTGACAGACTAGACATTTATGTTACGAAACATTGCCATTTCAAATAAATGCCATTCTTTCGAAACTTCTTAGATTAGAATGATTTCTGAACGATCATGTGACACTATAGACTGGAGTAATGGCTCCTGAAAATCCAGTTGTCATCACAGAAATAAATTGCATTTCAAATTAAAATAGAAAACATTATTTAAATTGTAATAATATTTCACAATATTACTGTTTTACTGTATTCTTTATCAAATAAATGCAGCCTTGGTAAGCATAAGAAAGCTCTTTACAAAAAAAATTGTGCTGAAGACAAACCTTTGAAGAACGGTAGTATAAATTTCATTCTGGTCTTGAAATCGATCATATGGCTTCAGAGTCTTAAGGGTGCTTTAAAATTAAAATTATTACAATGTTGCTTTTTATTCTTGGTGTGGTTCGCTTTCACACGGCATGGTTTCTAAATGGACCAAATTTGTTAATACAAGTCACGCGCGAGTAATCTGTTCTCTCATTGGTCAAAATTCCACGGTTTATTTTCTGGGATTCCAGCTGTCATCCGTCAGGATGGAACAACAACAGCTTCGCGGGCTTATTGTTGTTGTTTTTTTTGTAGCTGTCGTTATATTAGTTTATCATTTTGAGCAGGAGTCCAGGATTAATCGGGAAAACATTTTTAAAATGCACCTACTAGGAAGAAAAGCAATAAGACAGCATTATAAAATGAAAAAGTGAGCTTTGATTTTGAATGGCGAAGACGTGCTTACCCACAGACATTCACAGGTTCATTTTGAAGTATTAACAAAACAACAAAGCTAATGCTTTTCACGAAACTTATGTAATTACCCATTATACATCTAGTCATTTTATAATGCCGCCTTATTGCTCTTCTTCCTAGTAGGTGCATTTTAAAAATGTTTTCCCAATGAATCCTGGACTCCTGCTCAAAATTATAAATTAATATAAGGACAGCTACAAAAAAAAAAAAAAAGCTGTTGTCGTTCTATCCTGACGGATGACAGCCGTGAGAGCTAAGTGGAATCCCGGAAAATAAACCGTGGAACTTTGACCAATGAGAGAACAGTTTACTTTTGCGTGACTTGTTTTAAAAAATTTGGTCTGTGCCGTGTGAAAGCGAACCGCACCAAGAATAAAAAAAAGCAACATTGTAATCATTTTAATCCCTGTTTCGGAACAAAGCAATCGATCTACAGGTGTGAAAGCACCCTTATAGAGCACGTTTATAGTGCTTTTATTGTGCATTCTGCTTTTTTTATATTGTGTTTTATTCTGTTTTTGTCAGGAAATAGCTGCATGAAGAGTGTCTGACAGAAGTTTGTGTGTGAAATAAAACAGTCTTTGTGGCAAATCGTGGTTCACAGTTATAAACCGGGTTTAAAAAAAAAAAGTCCTACTTCATCTTTCAACAGGAAATACACCAACAGAAAGTTCGTTGTACTGCAGGGTTAGTCTTCAATAAAAAAAGATTCTTATAAACAGCAGACTCTTTAGTCCTCATTGTGATAACTAAGTAAATATTTAGCTTTAAGATCATGTCTAGTCAGTTTCCTCGGTCGCTTTTTTCCATTCTCTCCCAGTTTTAATGTGTGTGTGTTTTCTAACATCTGTGAACACATCGTCTTGGCTGTCCGTCTCTGTAACTGGTTTGATCTCTGATGAACAGATGTGTATTCTGTGAGCAGATGATTCTGTGCACTGGACACATGCGAGTATGTAAGGGTGTGCGTACCTCTGCTTGGCCAGTTCTCTCTCTCTCTGGCACTGTTCATCTCTTTCTCTCTCCAACTGCTGTCGTAATTCCTCGGTCTGTCTGACGTAACGTTGGGCGGCCCTCTCGTCTGCCTGAAGCAGCTCTGCCTCATGAAGAACTCTGAGTTTCTTTAGCTCCTGCTTGTGTTTGGAGATGAGTTTCTGAATCTCTGGCTCCAGCCCTGAGAGCATACAGCAGGAGACAGTTATGCAAACATTATTCAAATCTAACATAAATGTTTGCAATAGCATTGAAATAATCAGGGAAATTCCAATGGAATTCAAAGGAGGAAAATAATAAAACTACTATTGACACTATTTGCTGGCGTAATGTTTGAATTATAAGGGGATCCAAAAAGTTAACAAGGAAAATCTAGGATTTCTGGTGTCTGGATTTCAGTTTCAAATCAAAACTCAAAAAAAAAAAGAAAGAAAATCGAATTGCTCTAATTTTAATTAAAAATGGTATTAACTTGGCAAAATATTCGAAACAGAAGTTGCATATATATATATATATATATATATATATATACACTACAAGCCAGTTATGCAATTTAACAAACGATCTTGGAGAATGTTATGACATTATAAGCCATTTCATCCTTTTCTTAATGCCACAGATATAAATCATAAATGTGTGACACATTTTGGCAGCTGGGTTTAGAGAAACAGGCAGGCTGGGCTGTAATGAATATTGTTGAAGGGTGCGGTGATCCGATTCCAGAGAGATGTGGCACTGGTGTGAACAGATGCTTGTTGTTGGACTCTGCTGACCTTTTACAGTGATCTCCTTGATCTTTTTGGTCTTCTCATCAATCCATTTCTCCCGGCGGATCTTTTCCGTGGCACTCATTAACTCTTTCAGCTTCTTAATCTCCTATGAGGAGAAAGAGAGAGATGGAAGGAGGGTTAAACAAAGACAAAACCTCAGTCATGGCAGGATACAATGTCTAATGGGTTACTGTAAAGAAATATGTTACATAAAAGTGTAAAATCTGTTGTCATTTACTCAAAACAATTTAACTCCAAACTTTTAATGTGTTTTAATGGAACACAGAAGAAGAAAATGTGCAGAATGCACTGGTCACGGTCATTGTCTAATTACAGTGAATGGGGTCTGATGTCTTCTAGAGTTAAAAAGATGCAAAAACACCATAAATGTATCATAAATCTAAGTCATAGGATAGCTTTGACTGAAAAACTCAAACATTTGAACCTTAATGATAAAAGCAACGATGTCTGATTTGTCAGTGAATCGTTCAAACGGGCTTTGTTCAATTCAATTCAATTCAAGTTTATTCGTATAGCGGATCAATTTGTGAGCTGGATCGATCATTTAAGAATAATTCACTCATGAATCACACGTCAGTACTTCTCTAATGCACGTGCCAAGGTGACCACAGCTAGTATGTCAACATTTTTACTGTATTACAAAGTTTAATTTCCAAAGTTCCAAAGCTATCTACTTCAGAAGACCTGAGCATGGTCATATGGACCACTTTTAAGATGCTTTTTTCTTTTTAAAATCCCCAGTCACCATTCATTGTAATTTCACTGAATCAAGTGACCAACACCACAGGAAACGATACAAAATAAATAAATAAATAATGAGGGTTTTAATTCTGTGACAAAAATATTGGTATAATTTGAATCTTATAAGTAAGACTGATTAACACTTGGTTAACTGCTAGTTAGTCAAACTACTTGTTAACACAGTCTTAACTTGGTAACTAAGTTTATGCAACTGGCCTCTGGTTATAGCTACAAAAAAATAATTTATGTCACAATTTCACAATTTCCTAAATGCATCTACTTTCGGAAGGCCAAATAAAGTGCTTTTGCTTTCGCCTAGAAACACACAGCGTCTCCCTGACATGCTGCTTCAACACTAACTGCGGTTACTGAAACCACGCCTTCTTTCTTTGCGTGAACATTTGGGCGGCATTATACTAATATTGCCACATAGTGAGGTAGATATGTGGGGGCGTGTTAGAACGAGCCGTTTTAGGGGGGCGTGGCAGAGTCTTAACTTTGATAAAGAATATCTCTTTGGTTTTGAGACTTTAGTCTTTGCAACTTCAGGGATCTTATCTATGCACAATCAGCTTGTAACACTCCAAAGAGAAAGGAAAACTTGAAATCGCATCACATGACCCCTTTAACATATTGGCCCTGTTTATGTAGTTGGCCTCTTACAGTTGTTACAATGTTATGATTTGATCTGTGCATTTTGCCACGGTGTTGAGGATACACTAGAGCAGAGGTCCCTAAACCAAGGGCCCATGGGCTAAATTTGGCCTGTGACGTCTTTAATTTGGCCCACCTTTTTCATATCACAAAAGAGGGAAAAAACAGGGACAAAAACATGCAGTTGGAGCACATCTTTATTTCTAACTTGACGTAGTGTTTTAACACTTTTTGTTTTATTTTTGCATTAAAATGTATAGAATTTAAGTCGATGACGTCTTTAATTTGGCCCACCTTTTTCATATCACAAAAGAGGGAAAAAACAGGGACAAAAACATGCAGTTGGAGCACATCTTTATTTCTAACTTGACGTAGTGTTTTAACACTTGTTTTATTTTTGCATTAAAATGTATAGAATTTAAGTCAATTTGATAAAAAAAATTTTTTTAAATTGTAATACAGTATAGTTGAATATAATACAACAATTAATATCGACCCATGGCCCTCTATCAAGTTTTTGGTCACACTTTATTTTAAGGTCCAGTTCTCGCTATTAACAAACCATTAGCTATGACTTTGGCCTCAGTAAACTCTTAATTTGCTGCTTATTAACAATTAGTAAGATAGTTGTTAAGTTTAGGTATTGGGTAGGATTATGGATGTAGAACATGGTCATGCAGATTGTGCTTTATAAGTACTAATAAACATCCAATATGCATGCTAATAAGCAACTAGTTAATAGTGAGAATTGGTCCTTATGCTGAAGTGTTACCAGTTTTTTGGCTCTTCATAGAAAAGAGTTTGTGCATTTCTGCACTAGACTAGAGCAATCATTTCATTTGAACAGCATGATGAATCAATAATGAATGTATGAAATATATAAAAGTATTACACTTCAGTAATTAATGCAGAGCTGTTTTAAGCTTTAGGCAGCACAAAGTTATTTATTTTTCCTATTTCTGTATTTTGTTTCCATCTTAATCATATGACAAATGTAACATGCACTTAACTCCTTCCCATGTAAGATGGGAACACCAAGATACACTGATGGAATGTTCAGCACTTAAAATGTAACTAACAATGATGGTATCACACATCATTTGCACAAACATGGGCTGTGGAATGCAGAAAAAAGCAAGGTCTCGAAACCAGAAGTTTGACTTGGAAATAATCCTGTTATTACAATAAATCATCAAAAGCCAGCAGGCTACTTCCTTGAGGTTAAAAAAAAGCATGCAAGGTCAATGGCTCCAAGCAAAATGGAAAGTCTGCAAGTCTGTGTTAGATAAGAGGAATAAAAGAAAGGAAATGACAGAACATGGGAGTGATGAGGGGTTAGATAGAAAAAGAGTTACCTCACACATGGGACCCAGAATTTGCCACACCTACAGGCAGACAGAAGGAAAGATAACGACAGAAACACAACAAATGCAGAAAGATAGAAACAGTTAGCAGTGGCAAAGCAACACGGCACGTGAACATGCACTTGATGTTAATATGCACATACTCAAGCTTATGTGCGGAGATACAGTTAATGACAGCAGCAGAGAAAACCACAAACCAGTGGAAACAATAGCTGTAGAATCCAACACACACTATGGCTACATAGGCTATAATACACTTAAGCAGACATTTAAAGCTTGATGGCCCCCTTGTGGCCAAATGTTGCTCAGACACACCTCCTCAATCACATCACTACACCAACATCTCAAAACATGAATAAACTGAACTCACCAGCTCATGTTGCTCCTGCATCTGAGCGATCTTCTTTGTGTATTTCTGATCCACCTGCTTGAGTTCTCCCACTACTTCCTCACAACGTTCGCTCAGGGCCTTTTTATCATCAATCAGCTGAGAGAGCAAGAGAGTTAATACATGTACAAACTCATCTACTAGTTAGACATACACTGCCATTCAAACGTTTGGGATCAGTAGGATTTTTTATGTTTTTAAAAAAGGTTTCTTATGCTTATCAAAGCTGCATTTATTTGATCAAAAATATAGAAAAACAGTAATATAATGTGAAATATTATTGCAATTTAAAATAATGGTTTTCTATTTTAATATACTTAAAAAAAAATTTATTTCTGTGATGCAAAGCTGAATTTTCATCAGCCATCACTCCAGCCATTTCTCGAGTCTTCAGTGTCACATGATCCTTCAGAAAATCATTCTAATATGCTGATTTACAGCTCAAGAAACATTTCTGATTATTATCAATATAGGAAACAGTTGTGCTGCTTGATATTTTTGTGGAGACAAAGTGTAATACAGTTCATAAGTTTGAGTAAAGGAAGAAGAAGAAATTAATTTTTTAATTCAGCAAGGACACAAATAATCTAAAGTGCCATTTAATACATTTAAAATGTTAAAGATTTATATTTCAGAAAAAAATGCTGTTCATTTAACTTTCTATTATAATCCTGAAACAAGTATCACTATTTCCACAAAAAAATATTATGCAGCAAAAACAGTTTTCAGCATTTATAATTTTAAGAGCCATTATTAATAACCGAGCACCAAATCCACATAGAATGATTTCTGAAGGATCATGTGACAGGGTGTGAGATGTTATTTAAAATGCGAAATATTATTACAATATAAAATTACTTTATGTGGATTATAAATTACATTTTAAAATGTTTTAAAATAAAAAAAAATCTAGGAAAGCTTTTAAAGACTAAAAATTATAAACAACACTCTATATAGGTTGTTGTCTGCTGATGTCTGGTGTCTCTATGCAGTTGAAGTGTGTTGAGATCAATACCTGGTCTATAAACGTCAAGTGTCTCTGTATTGTAGCTTCATACTGCTGCTTCTGTAACTGGAAGGTATGATTGAGCTCTTTCTCAGTCTCCTTTACATGCCGGATCGTCAGCTCCCTCTGCTGAGTCTACAGACACACATTCACATTTATATCAGTCTCAGACAGCACTATTCATGTAGCATCTGTTGCATATTGCACATAAACATATGTAATATCATTGGATCATTGGAGGTTGAATGTGACGAGAGTATTGAACCATATTGATGATATACAAATGTGTGTGTGTTTGTTTTACCAGTGCTGTCTGTAGCATATTGACTGTGCGTTTTTTCTCATCCAGCTCCAGTTTGAGTCTCATCATAGAGCCGGTGACCTCAGCAGCTGTGGCTGAGGCTTGTTCCACAACTGCTAGATCTTCCTCTGACAACACCACCTACACTCACATACACATGAATATAAAATTCAGTGCTGATACAGCATAAAGACATAGCTTCATATGCTCAGTTCAGATGTGCTTACCTCCCTATGTGATCCAGAAGTGACTGAGCGTGGTCTCTCCTGCTCTGACTTCTCCATCTCATCCAGGAAGCTCATAATGGTCTGCAGTTTGGCCTCTGAAAGCAGAGCACCCTCATCTGGTAGAGCTGGAGTCTGACTCAGCTGCCTGTGCCGTTCCACATTATCCGTAGTCAGGGAGTTAGAGTCTCCATCCTGAAAAAAAATGCATGTGATGGTTAGCCAACCATTAAAAAGGTAATTTACACTCAAAAGAAAGGAATATTTTTATTCAGCAAGGACACATGCATTTATCCTAAAAGAATGTATCAGTTTCCACAAAAATATGAAGTAGCACAACTGTTTTCCAATTTGTTTTCAAATAATGAGAACTGTTAGAATGATTTCTGAAAGATCATGTGACACTGAAGACTGGAGAAATGGCTGCTGAAAATTCAGCTTTGCCAGCACAGGAATAGATTACATTTTAAAATATATTCAACTAGAAAACAGTTATTTTAAACTGTAATAGTATTTTATATAATATTACTGTTTTTACTGTATAAATGCAGCCTTGGTATATATGTATATACTAAGATAAGTCAATCACCTCATCAATCCACGAATACTTGTCCTTCCTGTAGCTCTTGGGCTCTGACAGTCTCTCTGGTTCCTCTTCCAAGAGCTTCAGTGTGTCCAGCAAGTCATTAAGAGTGGTTTTTGACTGTGCCCTGCTCGATGACGCCCCCTGCCGCTGATCCTCCATGCTCACAGACCTCTGGAGGATCTCCTGAGGGAATGAAGTGATGTGATGAGCAAAAGTGTTTATTTTTCTTCACGACTGGTGGAATCAGGACCAGTTTGTTGCGAGACGCTACCTGAGAACACTGAGATCCTCTGCATATAGAACCTGCGGGTGACGCAGCCCTTAGATTCGTCACATCATCCAGATCAGGCACCACGTTCACATTAAAATCTGAAGAACAAATGCCAAACCAAGTGACTAATCAAAATGGATTTTTATGACTTAAGGGGTGAAATGTGACTGCAATATGTTTTCGGAGTTTGATCAGAGACCCAGAATAGTGCATACCTGTGTTCATAGCCTTGACGTCAGTGGGAGAAGTGGGTGAACTCTTGGTGAGCTTTTTACGCCCCACTTTCCCAGCATGTCTTAGTGCCTCTACCTCCTCCTCTGCAATCTGCTGTACCTCTGCAGCACGTTGGGCTCTTTTCTGCTGAAGCTCCTGTTTTGGATGCACAATGATGCACCAGTAAGTGAGAAAACAATGTGTTAGCCGACACAAACTACAACAGCAGCGCAAACTACACTACCGTTCAAATGTTTAGGGTTAGTAAGAGTTTTTAAAGATCATTTATTTGATCAAAAAAAGTAATATTGTGAAATATTACTACAATTCAAAATAACAGTTTTTCAGATGAATATATTTTAAAATGTAATTTATTCCTGTGAAATCATTCTAATATTTTGATTTGGTGCTCACAACATTATTCAAAATTATTATAAATGTTGAAAACATTTGTGCTGCTTAAAGGGGTCATATAATGCGATTTCAATTTTTCCATTCTCTTTGGAGTGTTACAAGCTCTTGGTGCATAAAGAAGATCTGTAAAGTTGCAAAGACTAAAGTCTCAAATCCAAAGAGATATTCTTTATAAAAGTTAAGAGTTAACCACGCCTACCTAAAACGGCTCGTTCTAACACGCCCCCACATATCTACCTCACTATGTGGGAAGATTTGCATAACGCCGCCCAAACGTTCACGCAAGGAAAGAAGGCGTAACTTTTATTCTCACTGTAGTATTGTTGCTGCCACCATGTCGTGAAGATGCTGTGTGCTTCGTTTTTGAAAGCGAAACTACTTTGTTTGGTCTTTCAAAAGAGGACGATATCCGCTTCGTCATGCCTAGAGCTGATCTGTGCTGGTCGCTGAGGAAATACATCAACTTCACGCTGTGGATCGC